ATTGATACAAAAGATGGAAAGATTAAGCCCTTGCACCAAGATCTTCTTCCACTTCCAATCTTCGATTTGAACCCGAATCCTTGATATAATTCCTCTCGTGAATCTCTCTTTTACTTGGTGTTTTTCTCTTAATTATTGCAAAGTGTCCACCCTAATTCGTGCATCTCTTAGCCTCTTTATACTTCCTCTACATCCTTAGCCAAGTTGGAGTCCTTTTTGTGGGCTTTTTCGTAGCCCATAAATAACCTAATTTTTCTCGCGACGCAGCGCTTGAACGCCCGACTGCAGCGCTTGAGCGCCACGTCATGTGTGCAGGTGGCGCTTGAGCACCATCTTGCTGTTGAAAATTCTTCTTTGATCTCCAGCGCTTGAGCGCTATTTCTGGGCACTTAAGCGCCATATTGCTGCTCCATTCTTCCTCTATTTTGCTCCAAAAACCATCTTTTCTTCATTTTAACATTCCTTCAACCAAAACACTAGCAAACACATTAAATTCGTTCTATAATCAATAGATTAAGCATACAAATAAAGCTTTATTGGTATAAAATCCGTGTGCAAAACACACTAATCATACATGTTGAGAATCTTATTAATGACGAAGCTGGGGATGATACAATAGTTTTCCAGCATATTATGCGCAATGAAGCAATCAAGAATGAACAATGACTTTAAATTTTTTTATATTACCAATTTTAAGAATTCAACCCCATAACTTCTACCTACATTAAGAAAAATTAGAGATGAAATCCAAATATATTTAAGTTATAAATAAGAAAAGCAACAATAGAATTATATTTCAAGAAAATATCCTAGTTTATTTGCATTTTAAGTAAATTATATCAATATTTATTTTCTTATAAATTTATCCCAATTAATAAATTATTTGATTACCTAAGTGGGGATCGAGAAATTTATTATATAATAAAAATCCATAATTCGTATAGTATAAATTTATAGATGTAATTTAAAATAGTATTCATTCAAAACCATCGGTGCATATTCGACACTATAAACTCAATGAAATGCACGATTCAACAATCCTTCAAATAATATAATCAACAAATTCAAAAAAAAATCACACATTAAACTAAAATGTAACATATTCTAACTTTACTATGAATTGAAATACATAAGGTTAATGGTTCACTGGCTCTTTGGTTGTTTGTGTTCATTTTCTTAGAACTTCAATGTTAGCCTTTTTTGTGATGCATAACACAAATATTTGAAGGACTGGATCAATAATTTAATAAGCTCCCATTTGGTAAAAATATTAAAATCTAGATTTTAATTCAAGTCAAAGTCAACAATCAATTTTATGGATCTACAACTTTTAAACTGCACATTTCATTAATTTTTATCAAAATCTACCAAACTGGAACTAAGGGTTTTAAACCAAGATAGCAATTTGCTTCTGAATAAGGGTTTCAGGTGCTTCTATCTAATGCATGACAAAAGGCCCATTAGGGTATGTTGCATTCAGTTTTTGGTACTATCCTCTATCTTACTATCTCTTAAAAACTCTCTTTGATTCTTCTCTTTGTGAGACTCTTTTTCGTGATCTTTGAAAATTACTGCAGCTCTATCACAAGTAATGACTGCTTCAACAAATAACTTAATAATTATTGTGAAATTGAGGGAAAATAATTGATAGGAAATACAATCATTAATTGGACAACAATATGAGGATTATGACATTATGGAGACCAATGTTTTAAATAAGAATTATGTTTCTTGTACATTCTGTCATGACATTAAGGATGACATCTTGTTTGAGTCTAAAATCTAGTTATTGATTAAAAAAAAGTGTTATTCAAATCAATGTATAAAAATTTGTCAACTCACATGACGTCAAACTTAATATACCTGTAGCGTGATTGTTTCAAAAAATAGTCACTCAATCTACTCCTACGACTCTTTTTGTGAAGCACTCCTCTAATTATACATATGCGTGTAACACACGTAAATGCGACTCTTGTTAAGTCTCTCTCTCAAATTCAAAAGAGTGTAAGTAAAATTTAACAACTTTTATATGTATATATTAATTGATAATATATTAACATAAGATTATTTTAAATCAATGTTTTAAAATTTTAATACATCAAACGTGTTTTCTAATTTCTGCTTTGAGAAACAATTATTTAGAATGACAAATCAAACACGTTTGTAGCAATCTTATAACACTCAAAACCAAAAATTGAAAATTAACTCAAAACTCCAATATTCAAGCAAAAACCAAACATAAGAATTTCTTGATCAGTGTGTAAAAGCTTTCTCAGCTGTTTAATCAACGCATAGAGCAGGTGTGGCAGAATTGCAGCAGAGGGTTGAAAAGAATGAAATATGTCCATTGAAAGATTCAGATCAAGAAAATCCAAAGCATTTTCTTGGCCTAAACCTCAGCATATCATTGCCATTCAAGAATGATGATATGGGAAATCGTGAAAATGGAAAAAATGAAAATTCAACTCTAGAGCTCTACCCAATTTGGAGAAATGACAAGAGAAGGACCCTTAATTACATTACAGAGGGCCACTGATTTTAGTAGCATGAAAATCACTCCAAATAAATTCTATGAGTTTCTTCCTCTGTAAAATTGATTAGGGAGAGTAGAATTTATTAGACAAGAATATGTTTTTGTGGCTTAATTTCCTTAACTTACTTTATGTTTATGTGTATAAAGGATGATGATGTACAAACAGCTATTTCACTGCTACAAGGAAGAATCACCCCTTGTAAAGAAGCAATTGAAAGTATACTGAATAAAACAAAAAGTTTATTCCATTCTTCTTTGATTTGTTCCCTGGAAGCTTATTCTTTCCACATTATTATGCCAAAGCAAATTTTTTAATGTACAGAGATACACAGAGGATAGGAGTAGCAAACATAATTTTTGGTAATAGATTAAAATCAACGCACGTAAATGGGCTCGGGAGCTACCTTTCTTCGAATCCTGAAAGAAGTTAGAATTACAAAAATATGATCAGTAACTCGATTCTAGCAGCCGTACATTGAAAAAATTGAGAGCACCAAGCTACAAATAATGAAAGCTGTGCATGTGTTTCTTTCTGGAAATTGAAACTAAAGGAAATTGCCTTGTCTAGGAAATCGAAAAATGATTACTTACACTAAAAGTTCTAGACATCGTCACCCAGAATCTAACAAAAAATACTCCAGTTATTTACCATTTTCAAGCACTATGATGTCAAACAATAAATGTTGGCATACAAAGGAATTCTACTAGGGAGAAAATAAGAGCAAGGTGAAAAAATACCGAAGGTGGGAAGCATTGAGTATTTAAATTTCGTATTTGATTTCTTGATTAAACTGATCCCACTTGTACATGATGCAAGGTTAGGGATGCATATTGCGGCAATCAAAGGCATGACTAGATGAAAGCGATAACAAATACTAAAATCTAACTCTTCATTTTCAATTTGCTAAGTTGCTGCACTGTAACAGCTAAAAAATTGTTTAATTAGCCCAAGTGCAACCAGCAAACAAGATAAGCCTGCTTGATTTGAAGAATCTCAAGACTGGATGTAATGTTTTTCTCTTAAAAGTTGTCTAAAGTTTTCACCGTTTCCTAAGCTAGTAAAAGTAACTATTTCATCACATCCTATAAAAGATAGCATATGAAATTTAGTGTCAAAGTATTGGCAACAAATATACATTGACAGATTGAAGTTTAAGCTAATTTATCACTTTGTGGTGCAATGATTGTGTAATCAATTTTTCTCTGTCATGGAGCTTATTACAGTCAATGTTGATAAAATCACCACTCACCAATTATCTTCAGCCCATTTACAACCATCAGTATCCACCACATGCAAACTGTAAGCATGCCGTGAATTTGAGGAACTGTTCTCGAAACTGTAGAAGAAAACATATGGGCATAATGCTGAGTACATCTCACATAACTAAACGTAAAACATAACTTCATTAAATAAAAAGCATGGTGGCTAAGCTTAAAGTTTACTCAAGTTTTTTATTTAAAAAAGCAAGTTATCTAAAGTACCTTCAATTTTTTTTTTTTTTAAGCTTAGCCAAACATGCTTTAAGTTCAGTCAACTGACCTTTGATGAATAAGATCCCCATGAATGATTACCAAGGAGCCTGCTTTGACTTCAATTGAAACAAAATCCTTTTGATCATAGGTTGGGGATGGCTTATCAAAGTGAACCCCGTTCTCGTCTCTAATGAATCTTCTAACAAGGCCATCTACAGTGACAAAAGAAGAAAAATTGACACCCTATTTAAGACAATTCGAGGATCAAGAGGGTAGAGAGACTACCGAAATATGAGACACTGATACCTTTGTGGGATCCCGGGATAGCCCAGAGGCATCCGTTTATAATTGTAGCATCTTCTAGAGCTAGCCACAGACCCGTGCAAGTTGGTGGATCAGTGTATAGAAATGAATTGTCCTGGTGTGGCACCACTACACCACCAATTCCTGGTTGCTGGAAATGAAATTCATAGACATTACCTTCAAGTAGACTGATATATGAAAATGTTTGCACTTATAGAGGATTTAGATTGTCATAAAATCTGACACCGCACAAAATAGACGGAAAAATCTGGAAAAAATCACGAATATTTGGAGTTCTCACTATTGTGACAGGACCTTTTAATTTGCGCTATCAAGTAATGTAGAACGTCACGAGTCAGACATCCAATGCTCCATCAATTTGATAGCATGACAAATACACATGGATGTATATGTGGACAATTGATGACATAAACCATGCCACATCTAGAATATAGAAAACTAACAAAACCCCCTTAAAAAGTAAAAGTAAAAATGGAAAAGTAGAATCACTGTACAAATAAGAAAAAATCACATGGGTCTACCCCTCATCGAACTTAGCTGCAAAGGTTTTTACTGTGAAATTGCCTAGTAATACACAATGCTGTTCTGCCACAAAGAGGACAATGAACTCTCCCAATATTCATTTCCAAGGTCCAGAAAATCGAATACATTCTCATTACTCCTAAATGTCTCAGTCCAAATGCAATACTATGATGCACATAAAATTTACAATAATAATTTGAAGAAAATTATGATTAAATCTTCTATAGTGCATAATTGAGCATTGTAGCAATGTCTGATATTGTTCTACAGTTGGAAAAAAAAATTATATCTGAAATTTGGACTTCCGCTTATACTTCGTAAACACAGTAAAAGGAGGGTTAGTCATTTGTACATTGAAGAATATCAGTGTCCAACAACTCAAACCTGTCCAACACAGGATACACCAACACAGAAATGTATCCTTTTGGATATTGTGTGTGCATCTTAGACTTAAATAATTATGAAAATTTCTGGAAAAACTTGGACACCTAGGACTGTCTTCCTAACAAATTGAAGAGCCTTCGAATAAATAATCTAATATGCAACAACTTAAAACACTAATTTTGATTTTTTAGTTATCAGAACACAATGGACATTTTTAAGGATCAGAATACGGATAAGAATATTTGGATTGTAAACTCATAAGAAACTTCAACATGAAATCGAAGTACCTTAAAAATGTACATGGACTGTATGATCACTGGCCTTCTGTATCCCAAAGAGCATAGAAAGCCTGACACTTTCTCTGAGCTTGAGAACTTCTTAAACACTGGATCAATGCCGTGCAAATCTGCAAAATAAGACATGAATGCAATATTAAAATAAGAATAGTACTAATTTCGATAATGCTTATTCAAGTTGTACATAATTCGGAATTAAAAAAATTAAAAAGAGATAGATAGCTGAAAATTCAAGTTGTCAATGGGGGGTGTGGTTGAAATTCAATTTATATATGGACGTATTCCAACATACCATGCCCGACTTTGTTAACAGAGAGTTGCTTTGGTTGCTTTAAGTTACCTCCTTCATCAAATGCTTTCTCTGTTGAAAATACAAATCCATGCATCATTTCAGAGAGAAGTATCCAAAGAACGGCATCAAGAAAAATACATGTGCTAATCCCATTAAGTCAGGTAAAAAAGAAGACCAAGACCGGATCACATACATCGATTAATAAAGTTGAACCTATTTCATCCACCAACACGAAGAATACCTATAACCTTGAACTCTAAACACTCTTAAAACAGCAAACGGAACACACCCGGTTTTTTATTTCAGGTTCCTTCAGAGTCTCGGACACATTTTAAGATAGAATGGGTGTATTGTACCTTCGGAAGAAAAGATAGGCTATTTTTGCATTGTTTGTTTAGCTTGATCAGAGATTAGGTATTTGCTATTTCATTGGTTAAAAAAAAAAAAAAAAAGATCAAGAAAAATAAAATCCAAATATTTTATATACAAAGAATCACTTTCTTTATCACATGTCCAAAGGTTTCCGCTTTATTTTATTTCCCATTACAATAAAATAACTAAAAAAAAAAAAAAATCCTTCAGAACCTTCTTTCCTGGTGCAACTTGCAAGCATCAAACGTAAGGTGAACAAACTTCATCAATCATAATTAGCACAAAAAAAAAAAAATTACAATAAATTTGAATTTAATGACTGATTCAGCGTAATTAATACCTTCAAAGAAAAACGAAATCTTCTCAGCACTCTCAAAGAAGTATTCATCAGTGGATTGTTGCTGAACCCAGAACAGAAGGATGAAGCAAAAATTAATTGAACTCAAAATTCTAACTTATTTCCGCAACAATTCAAATATTAGATCTATATCAACAATAAAAGGTCGGATCTTTACTTGGTTCGTGGTGGAAAAAATTGAAGAACTCTTAGAACAATCAAATTCGTCAAGTAACTGATCCATTCTTTTCCTCAATAAATCTATATCTTCAGAGCTTGCGAATGATTCCAACACTAAGTACCCTGTTCCATTAAAAAGCAATTAAAGAAAGAATCACCATTATTTATACCTAGTACTTAGTACTTTCTTTACTACCTTGGGAGTTGAAGAACTGAAGTTGATCGGGATTGAGGTTTCCAACAATTCCCATGTCTGAAATTTGCTTTGCTTTCGAATTTGCGATTTTTTTTCCGAGGAAGATCGTGAGAAAAATCAGATTATGTGCACCTCTAATATAAGTAGTTTGATTTTGACAAAATAATTATCTATTGAAGGGACTCAATTGATGTTGTTAATAAGATGGCGGACCTCCATATGAAGGATATTTACAATTAATCCTCCTACTTACAGAAACCATAAAATACCATCCTCCAACTTTTGGATAGCATCAACTCGGTCCTCTACTTTCGGGTTGCCGGCCGGTTCGATTATATTTTCTAAAGGACCGGTCCGGCCCACTGACCAATCCAAAAGCAGTCCTTCACTGCACGTCACAAATTAAAATTACTTTTGTAAAAATAACAAATCTTAATTGAGATCCATTAATTTGGTACGATGAAAATGTGAACATCTTAAACGTTAATTTCTTTAAATGTAATAAATTACATAGGTATTACTATCAAGAAATGTCCCAAAATCGTTTACTTGTATTTCATCATTGTAGCAGAGTGAACACGTATCTTTTAGCTCATAGAACTCCAACATTTCCAGTGATATGCTTTGCTTATATAGGCTTGTACAAGTTTTACGATGTCATCATGATATGAGCATCGCTATCATTATACTGAAAAACAATGAAATCTATATGATCATCACGTGCATATTTAGGAGGATTCACTTCTCCAAATAACATCACGAATGACAAATAACATTTTTAGGCTTGCATTGCTCGAATAGGCTTGTGCAGCTGTTTCGAGCCATTATAATTGTGTCATTATCCATCGGGTCTCAAAAGAACAATACTCCTTAAAAATTACATATTATAATGGAAATTCGTTAATTTTGAATAATATTATTTATTGATACACGAAACGGAGAGCGTATAGTTTAATAAATTTGCTCCAAATCACAATTTCGGAACTTAATAATTTTTAATAAAATATGAAATGGTAAGCAGATATCCACTTTTCAACAGCGATTCAACTCGCCAACGGTTCCGTTCACTAAAGCCATCGTACTTATTCAACCATTTGCTTTCCTCGTCTGCTGCTACGAACTCGGAGATCATTCTCGTTTTCCATTGTAAATGCGAATTTGTGCTTGTAATGGTTTAAGCTTAGATTAAATGAAAATCTTTGAATTTGTACTTGAAATTCGTAAGGTCCAGTTTTGTAGGTGATGGGTAAATAATTTTTGCCTAACTTGAACAAAAGAAAAAAAATTGTTTCTTCTGCCCTACTATTTAAAATAATTAATTTACTTTTTTTATGTGCAAAACAAGAGTTTTAGTAATTTCACTATATCATTTTTTCATCGCTCCACTTGGTTCATTGCTACATCTACTAAAAGTCCACCATCACTGAATCCTTGACAACCACGGCACACCATGTTATTTGAACAAATGATATAAAAAACAATACACGATTAAGAAATTCTAGCAATTGTAAATAGGAAATGAAAACAAGGGCATCGAATCTTGAACCAAAAATAGAAGTTGGGATTAATAATATACTCAATCGTCATGTTTCCATGGTTTGATACAATTGAAAGCACCAACGTGCATCACAAAAATGTACACATCATTGTGCAAAAAACTCAGGAATGAATACACATCTTGTTGGATACAGTTGCCGAGACAATAAAGTGCGTAACTATGACAGTTTGGTCGAGAGAATTAGACCGTACCCTACATTAAAGAAGAAAAAGAACTAAAATTTTGTTTATTATACTATGTAGTCTTGACTAGTGTTATGTACCAAACATGCACTTAATTCCGATTATTCAATTAATTGTGAAAAACTTATTCAAGGATATGTGTTGAATAGTATATGTAGATTTGAAAGACACCACAAATTCCATCCGAATAGAAGAACGGAGTATTGTATAAAACAACTGTACAAATAAAAAACACAGAAGGTGCTAGTCATACTTGAGCTGCTAGCTGAGCAGCATCATATTTGCCAGGAGATGTTTCAGCATCATTTATGTTTTTCATCAACTCTTGAAGCTGAGAAATCAAATCAGATAAGTGCCCACCCCTCAAGATAACTGATCCAGTTACACCTGTTGACAAATGACAACCCAAAATTGATACTGTGAATTTTCAAACAATTATTGAAACTCATGGTCCACCAAAGCCCACAATGCAGCAGTCTGAATGGGCTTGGTTACAGTTCCTTTTTTGCAACGGATGAATGCTTACTGTTAGGAAATTATTGGGAGCAATTACCCAAGACCCAAGCCCACACCACCGGCCCAAGTGAGGTTCCATCCCAAAACCAATTGGTAATGGGTGGAGTAGCCCACTTGAGTTATATGGTGGATTTATTTTCTTCCCACAACCGATGTGGGACTTATTTGCCCCAACAATCCCTCCCTCAAACAAGGCTCGTGAGGTAAATCACCACTCATCGAGATAATTCATCGTAGCCTGCACCCACTACGTTACCATGGATCTATCATCTCATGAGAATTTTCCACCACCTCGATTTATCTAGCCACACAACCTGGTCTCTGATACCAATTGTTGGGGATTTATGCTTCCCTCTCAGCTCAGGATCAATGCAGAGTTACAGAAAAGAAAATGGAAGAAATCGGCACCAGCAGAAACAGATGAAATAACCAGCAAGAATAACCAGCAGAAGACAGAACAGAATATAAACCAGCAAAAGAACATATGAAAAACCAGCAGAAGGAAAAACTGAACAGAGACTGATTTAACCAGGAAGAA